CAATGCTTCCCAAAATGGTTTCACAAGAATGAAAGCGCCAGAAGCATATGAACTGGTAGAGAAGATATGTGCTGAAGATACTGAATGGGGTAGTGAGATCGGCATTCGAAGGAGAGGAGGCTTGCAAGAGATATACAGAGTTGCAAGTTTAGAAGCAAAGATTGATGCTAAGCTGGATTCCAAGTTCGATGCACTCGAACGAAGGCTGGCTAAGATGGCTCTTGGTAGACAAGAGGAGGTTGCTTTTTGCGAATTATGTGAAGGTGCTCGTCATAGGGATCTATGTCCACTGGTAGCTGATCAGTTGGAAGATGTGCACTATATCAACAATCAGCGAAATCAAGGTCAGGGAGGTATGTATTCAAATACCTACAACCCGCAATGGAGGAAGCATCCTAACTTTTCCTGGGCGAACAACAACCCAAATGGTGCTCGCAAGATTCCACCTCGAGGCCTGCAGAAACAACAACCTCTACCTAAACCAGAGAAGAAACCACAACTTGAAGAATTGCTTCTGGCTCACATGTAGAAAACCGACAATAATCTGAAGGGCCTGGATCAATTTGTCACTCAACTGCTAGCCATCAAAAATAATTTACAATCGTCTATGCTAGCTATGGAGAGGCAGATGGGACAGATGGCTCAAACTCTGGCGGATATGCAGGGCAGGATTCATGGGACATTACCGGCTAATACCGAGAGGAATCCAAAATATGCTAAAGTTGTGGCGGTGACATTGAGGAGTGGCAAGGCCTTGGAAGACCCTAGCAGCTCGAAAAAAGGCACCAGAGGCAGAAGAGGAAGCACCGGGAGAAAGATCTTGTGCAGAAAATGAGGAATCAGCCTTGCACAGGCAAAATGACAGCAGTTTGCCTGTGCAAAAGCAGCCTGCCCGTGCAAAACCAGAAGGGGAAAATGCAAAGAGGGAGGAGCTAAAACCTTATGACCCACTTGCACCATTCCCTCAAAGGTTGATGAAGCCCTTGGAGGACTCGAACTTCAAAAAATTTGTGAATCTCTTCAAGCAATTACACATCAACATTCCGCTAGCTGAGGCTCTTGAGCAAATGCCCACGTATGCCAAATTTCTTAAGGAATTGTTGACAAAGAAGAGAAATTAGAGTGATCTGGAGAAAGTAACACTCACACCAGAGTGTAGTGCTGTGATCCAAAATAAATTGCCCGAGAAGAGGGAAGATCCGGGGAGCTTCACCATCCCATGTATTGTTGGTAAGACAGAGTTTACAAAGTCTCTTTGTGATCTTGGAGCCGGCATAAACCTCATGCCATGTTCTGTTTATGAGAAGCTGGGACTCTAAGATGTGATCAAGCCGACTCGAATTACTCTGCAACTGGCTGATCGATCAGTAAAGGTCCCCAAAGGCGTGGTGGAGAACGTGCTAGTCAAGGTGGGAAAATTCATCTTCCCCGCCGACTTCGTCATTCTGGAGATGGAGGAGGACAGGGAAGTACCTCTCATTCTTGGGAGACCCTTCCTAGCTACGGGAGGTGCTCTCATAGATTTCCAAAAAGGCGAGCTGACATTCAGAGTCTGTGGGGAAGAGGTAAAATTCAACGTATACCATGCAAGTAAGTACCCTAATGACTCTAGTGATGTGTTTGCGGTGGATGTCATAGAATCATGCACTGATGCTGTTTTGAACAATGATTATGATGCTGATTCTGAGTTTGATGATTCAGATAATGAACTTGATGAGCTAACCGTGTCAAAGAGGGCACAAATGCTCGAAGCATTGCCTATGCAGGTGGAAGGTGATGAAAAGGCTGGGTTTCCAAAGACAATGGTTCCATCTCGGATCCAGCCCCCGGAATTGGAACTAAAACCATTGCCTAGTCACCTTAAGTATGCATATCTGGGGGGGGAAACTCCACTTTACCTGTGATTGTTTCTGCTACACTAACTGATTCGCAGGAACAAGAGCTCTTGAAGGTCTTACGCCAGCACATACAAGCTTTAGGTTGGACTATTGCCGACATCAAAGGCATTAATCCAGCATTTTGTATGCATAAGATCCTTTTAGAGGAGGAGTCCAAGCCCTCAATTCAGGCACAACTGAGATTAAACCCGCACATGAAAGAAGTAGTGCATAAGGAGGTAATGAAGCTATTGGATGCAGGTATTATTTACCCTATCTCTGATAGTACTTGGGTTAGTCCTGTGCATGTTGTCCCTAAAAAGGGAGGAATGAATGTAGTGAGAAACGATAAGGATGAGATGATATCTACCCGAACTGTTACGGGCTGGAGAGTGTGTATAGATTATAGGAAGTTGAATGAGGTGACCCGAAAGGATCACTTCTCTCTTCCTTTTATTGATCAAATGCTCGAACGGTTAGCGGGTCATTCTCACTACTGCTTCCTAGATGGTTACTCCGATTATTTTTAGATCCCAGTAGCACCGGAGGATCAAGAGAAAACTGCTTTTACATGTCCTTTTGGTGTTTTTGCATATCGTAGAATGCCTTTTGGATTATGTAATGCACCAGCAACCTTTCAGCGGTGCATGACTGCCATATTCTCTGACATGTTGGAATCGAGTCTTGAAGTTTTCATGGATGACTTCTCGACTTTTGGTACTATCTTTGAACATTGTTTGGCTAACTTGTCTAGAGTTTTGCAGAGATGTGAACAGACTAATCTAGTCTTGAACTGGGGAAAATGTCACTTCATGGTGACAGAAGGTATAGTGCTTGGTCATCGAATTTTGGCGAGGAGGATAGAAGTTGATAAAGCTAAGATTGAAATCATTGAAAAAGTTCCCCCTCCCAGCACAATCAAAGGAATTAGAAGTTTTCTAGGTCATGCCAGTTTTTACCGGAGATTTATTAAAGACTTCTCAAAGATCACCAAGCCTTTATGTGATTTGTTGTCCAAAGATACTGCGTTTAACTTCTCTGATGAGTGTTTGCAGGCCTTCAATCGACTTAAGAAGGAGTTAACCTCTGCTCCCATTATCACTGCACCCGACTGGACTTTGCCATTTGAAATTATGTGCGATGCTAGCGACTATGCAGTCGGGGCAGTTTTGGGGCAGAGGAAGGAAGGTAAGTTGCACGCGGTGTACTATGCAAGTAAGCTTCTTAATGATGCACAATTGAACTATTCCACTACTAAAAAAGAACTGCTTGCTGTGCTGTTTGCTTTTGATAAATTTCGATCTTATTTGATGGGATCGAAAACATTTGTGTACACTGACCATGCAGCTATAAGCACCTTATTTCAAAGAAGGAGGCCAAGCCGAGATTGCTTCGTTGGGTTCTTCTTTTGCAGGAATTCGACGTTGAAATTCGTGACAAGAAAGGTTCGGCTAATCTGGTAGCCGATCACCTTTCTAGACTTGAGCTTGAGGTAATTCATAAGGACAAGGTTGAGATCAATGAGTCTTTTCCAGACTAGCATCTTTATGCTCTCCTTGTCCAACAAGCTCTCTGGTATGCAGACCTTGCGAACTATCTCGCCACAGGTAAGCTCCCTGATTTGTCTTATCAACAGCGCAAGAAGTTGATCACTATTGCCAAGAATTATATATGGGAAGACCCCTTCCTGTATAAGCATTGTACTGATACCATGGTAAGACGATGTATTCCTGAATGTGAGGTAAAGTCAGTGCTAAATTTCTGTCATAGTATGGCCGCAAAAGGTCACTTTGGACCTCATAGGACAGCAACAAAGGTGTTACAATCTAGATTTTATTGGCCTTCTCTATTTCGAGATGCCCGTGATTTTGTTGCTCAATGTGATAGGTGCCAAAGAACAGGGAACATATCTACAAGGATGGAGATGCCGCAGACCTCGATTTTGGAGGTGGAGATGTTTGATGTATGGGGAGTGGATTTCATGGGGCCATTCCCACCGTCTTTCAACAACAAATATATCTTAATCGCAGTCGACTATGTATCCAAGTGGGTGGAGGAAGTGGCGTTGCCCACCAATGACTCAAAGAACGTGTTCACCAGATTCGGAGTCCCTCGAGTTCTCATAAGTGACGAGGGCACACACTTCATGGGAAAGGAGTTGAACATGTTGTTGGCCATATATGGGGTTAAGCATCGAGTGGCACACCCTATCATCCACAAACCAGCGGGAAAGTGGAAGTTTCCAACAGAGAACTGAAACACATTCTGGAGACGACAGTGAATTCAACAAAGAAAGATTGGGCAAGGAAGTTAGATGATGCACTCTGGCATACCGGACTGCTTTCAAGACTCCTTTAGGCATGTCTCCGTACAGATTGGTGTTTGGAAAAGCTTGCCACTTGCCCGTCAAGCTCGAGCATAAGGCGTATTGGGCTATCAAGAAGCTGAACTTTGATCTAAAAACTGCTGGAGAGAAGCGCATGTTGCAACTGAATGAGCTCGACGAGATTAGGCTTTATGCCTATGAAAATGCCCGGATTTATAAGGAGAAAACCAAGAAGTGGTGCGATCACCACATACTGAGAAGGGAGTTCAAGGTGGGAGAGAAGGTATTACTTTTCAACTCACGCCTTAAACTCTTCCCTGGGAAATTGAATTCAAGGTGGTCCGGACCATTTACGGTGACCAAAGTGTACCCACATGGTGAAATCGAGATTCTTGGTGATCAAGGGGCATTTAAGGTGAATGGTCAGAGGCTCAAGCACTATATTGAAGGGGTTTCCGTCCTGGAAATCTCTACATATCATCTGGAATGAGCTATTTTACGTCAAGCTAGCGACGAAAAACAACCGCTTCTTGGGAGGCAACCCAAGGAGAGTTTTCTTTCAATTTTTTTTAATTTATTTGTTTTACCATATGTATAGAGTTTCTCCGCCAAATTTCAGCTCCAAAAGCCTTGAGGAAGGTATTATTTGGTGTTTTGTAGTTGCACGGGCAGGCTGCGGAAGCACAGGGAGGCTGCAAAGTTAGCACAAGCAAACCGCAAATGGGGGGAGGACTAATCTGAAACTTTTGGGAAGGAAGGAGTGATCTGAAATTTTTGAGAAGGAAGGGGGGGCTGAAAGGGAGATTCTCCTTTTATTATAAAAAAAAAAAAACAAAAGTCGGGGTCGGGCTGCTTGCCCTTCCCCTTCCTCCCTTCTCTTCTTCATCCTCCACCCAACAACGCGACGCCGCCGGTCGCCCCTCCCACCACAGCAACGCGGCGCCGCCGCCGGCTCTCATCTCGGCACTGCCCCACCACCGCGCCACCGAGCTCCCCCACCACAGGCGGCCGCGTCGCCCGGCGTTGTCGCGTCGCGCGACCAGCAGCGCCGTCACCACAGCCCCGCGCCGCCGTCTCCGGCGGTCGTCGCGGGCCCAGCGCCGCCGTCTCCGGCGGTCGTCGCGGGCCCAGCGCCCCCATTTCGACCCCCACCAGCTCCAATCACCCCCTTCCCCCCAGGTTTGATTCGAAGAACCTAGAGTTGTTAAAGATTCAAGAACAGAAAAAAATTAGGGTCCTTCAAATTGGGGATTTTGCCTAATTTTGAATTAAGGTGAAATTGGAATGTGATGATTGATTGATTGATTGATTGGTCCAATTGAAGTGCAATTACTGTCTAGAAGGAGATTTGCAGAAGATTTTATGGGTGAATGAGTTGAATTCGACATTGTAATAGACTTGGTGGGTTTTGATTGGAATTTGCAGCTTGAGGATTGGTTCATTTGAGGTTCCGGAATTGGGGATTTTCTGATTGTGGTGGCATTGAACTGGAATTTGGGAAGAAGAGTACGGACTTGTGCAAATTTGGTGATTCAAGCAGAGTGAAGGCTTAAGAAGGTTGTGTTTTCCCAGTTTGCACTCTTGGTTGCAGATATGGGACGTCGAAGATATATCCCTCCACCTCGGCAGTTCAAGGTAACCGATCAAAGTGAAGATGGGAAGATTGTTTATCGTTCGTGGATGATTGAAGACAGCCACAAGGTGACAGATAAAGACAGCCCAATTCCAGAAGTTCCTCCACAATTTCAAGCGGTCAACATGCCAGCTAGGTTTCACAGGGTGATCACCGGCCAGGTTAGACCCACGATGCGGTCCCGGACTATTGAGATGACTTCTCCAGCTCTATCTCCACCACAGCAGCCTGCTCAAATGCCTCCTGAAGAACCTCCACTCCCAGATTCAGCACCAGTTGAATCACCTGAGAGCAGGCCATCAAAGAGGACTCGTCTCCAGCAACCGGGCTCATCTTCACAACCACAGAGGAAGCCTTCTTCTTCAGCACCTGCCCCATCCACGACACCACGTCGTACTACCCCAGTTGCAAGCAAGAAAAAGGTTGGTACTTCACTTTCAAAGGACGTCTCTAAGACGTTCGGTCAACCTGTCCAGCTCCAGTAACATAAAGAGGAATATGCAGATCTGATGAAACGAGAGGTCATCCCTTCTCAGTTCATGGACTATTAAGCATTGCAGAAGACCGAGCGGGCTGAGGAGGTGATGACATATTTCCGCAGGATGAATTGGTCAAGATTTCCGGAGCTGCACTTCCCCACCTATCCACACCTCACCAGAGCATTCTTGGCCACCTACAGCTTCGAAGATAGTGGGGTTGAGAGCAAGCTTCAGAGTACTTTGGCCGGGAAAACCAAGTCCCTCACTTTGAGCCAAGTGAACCGAGCACTTCAATTTGATGGTGCAGCAGATACAATTCCTTATGAAGCACAGGATTTGAGTGAGTTTTGGAAGACAATTGTGGCAAATGGAAAGGACTTCAATCCTCGTTCTTCGAGGAGAGCATCGATCCGAGACCCGGTGATCCCACTAGTACATGACTACTTGGCTCGCACTGTCTTGGGAAAGGGATCCAATGCCAGTGGTGTCTACACCACCGATCTCAGGTACATTCACAGTTTCGTCACTGGAGCACCATTGTGTGTTGGCTACATGGTGGGTAAGATGCTTCAAAATGAAGCGCTCAAAACTTGTGGAGCTATTATGTGTGGGGGAATCATTACTGCATTAGCTCGAGCTTACTGGGGGTTACCAGAAAACCCTACGGGTTTGGAGATAAGTGAGGGCTCGACTCTGCTTGGGGAAACAGCGTTAGGCAAATTGGGTTTTCTGAGGAAAGGAGGATGTCGTGGTGAATATCTATCCATCACCAAATACAAGGAGTGGGAGATTGAGGCCAATCGGAAAAGGGCAGCAAAGGCTGCTAGAGCAACTTCTACTTCAGCATCATCTTCAGTACCATCGGTAGCCACTCCGACAACAACTCTAGCTCCTACACCCATGCCTCTGGGTGCTTGTTCATCATCACCTGCACCAGCAGCAGGGCACTCTGCAACGAGTGTTGGTCAGAGTCAGCAGTCACATTCACCTCCAGTTCTGCATCCAGGAGATACTCCGCCAGTTGTACCAGCTTCACCATCATCTGGAGACGATCTCAGAGCCAGAATAGCTATCTTGGAAGCCAGAGATGCAGAGAAAGATAAGAAGATCAAGGAGCTCAGCCGGCGTCTAGATGAGAAGCTCGGCACTTCTTCATCGACCCCTCCTTCATATGAACTTGTGCCGAGGTTCTTTTTTCTTTTCTTTTCTTCTTTTCTTTGTGAATACTTCTCGTATTGGATGATGGTTTGTAATAATGTTAGCTAGGTGAACCTGTTGGTGTGTCGTGTGTAGTAGCAGACATTGTGGACAATGTCCATCCTGAGTGTGGGGTGGATGGTATGTATTCTTGTCGTGTTTTATGTTTAGGTGTCAAGTCTTAGTTGTCCACAGTGTCTCGTCATGTGTATAAAAAAAATTGTTATTAGGTGCAAAAAAGCAGTCTGCCTGTGCAAAGCTAATGGCTAAAAAACACCTAAAAATCAGAAAAATTAAAAACAAAACCTTGTACTCTTGTGGTAACATGATGTAAATGACTGTGATGCGTGTGAAATGAGTTTGTGCTTGAATGAAATCATCGAAATCACCCCACTAGTGTTGAATTGCATAGTTCTTCACAATGAGCTTGAATGTTTTGACTGACTTGATATGCTTTGAATGAGCAAACTCTTTTAGCAACATTCTCTTTTGTGAGGATAGTGTATTGACTTTTGGTGAAGTAGTTAGGTGGACCATTCGACATGTTTGGATACCGTGCTTACTTGCATCAATTGTGAGCTTTTGATTTTGCAACGAGTCTCTCTGTTTTGATTGTTTTATGATGGGGTGAACTGTATCTTCATAAAAGAAAACACTACCTGACAAGTAAAATATAAGAAAGTTGCCATAACAATTAAAGTGTGGGTAAAAATGCCAAAATCGTGTGAGGCAATCACTCATTGCACATGGGGATTAGGAAAGATTCAATTGAGAATCGGTTCGCGACCGTACGATGTTGCTTATCAAGTACGATCCCCAGTTGAGTGAAGTGCCATTTGAGGATGTGCAATGACTCTCCACACGGACCGAGGACAAGGAGTTGAAAGAAGCCCTTAAGCGATTGCTAAGAAGCATAAATTGCTCTTGCTCGGTCACCAGTAGTAAGAAACAAATCCCACTTGTACTAAATACGACCTCTCGAAAAGCACAAGCAGAAAGTGAGACAGCCTCTCCTTGTCATAAAAGGTAGTGATGTGCTTAAAGTTAAAATCATGTTGGAAAAAGGATTCCCCCATTTGTTTTTGAGGCTCATGCTTTGTTAATTGCTTATGATTGGTGTGAGTAAGCCAGATTGTCCTCACGAGATATGCACCTCACTAATGCATGCAATCCCGACAACACGGTCTCGTATTCTGCCGCATTGTTTGTTTTAAAGGCGCGGAATCGGATGGCTATTTCGTGTATCACGCCCAATGGCGTGCGAATAACTATTCTCGCTCCTGCAATGTGTTTGTTGTCCGCTGCGTCGACATAAATTTCCCATGTTCCTTTTAGGGTTGTCTCGAGCACGACTCCTTCCGCGATGAAGTCTGCCAAGACTCGGCCCTTTATGGCCGGTCGCGGCGCATAGTTGATGTCATACTCAGATAGTTCAACTGCCCATTTGACTAACCACCTTGATACATCCATCGAGCTCAATATCTTTCAGAGAGGTAAATTAGTGAGGACAGGGATTGGATGTGTCTGGAAGTAGGGTCTCAACTTCTGCGATGTCGACACTAACGCAAGCATGGCCTTCACGATCGGGCAATACCACGTTTCTGGATTGTTCACTGTGTGTGACGTATAATACACCACTCTTTTCTCGATGCATTTGCTCCGAAAATTAACGTTGCGCTCACGATGCAAACTGAGAAAGAGAGGTAAAGAAACTGCATTTCATTCAACTTGTGTGCTACCAATACAGGGGGGATACAAGGTACATTTTAAGTTCTTCTAAAGTTGCATCACACTTGGCATTCCATTCGAAACTCACTATGGCCTTGAGTTTTTGGAAGAATGGAGCGGAGCGAGCGGCGGATCTCGAGATGAATCTCCCTAATGTCGCCATCTTCCCCACTAGCGATTGGACTTATTGAGCATTACGCAGAGACTTCGGGTGGCGAATCGCGTCCATTTTTTTTTTGGTCCACCTCGATTCCTCTCCTTTCGATCATGAATCCAAGGAATTTCCCGGCCTCTCTTCCAAAAACACAATTTAGGGATGGGCGTTCGGTTGGTTCGGTTTGAACCAAACCAAACGAGTATATGTCGAATTTCCGAAGTCGCCCATCTTCCAACCGATTTCGAACCAAACTATAATTCGGTTTGGTTTGACCGAACCGAACTATAATCTGGTTCGGTTTGACCGAACCGAATTATAGCTCAGTTTGGTTCGGTTTTCCATCCCAGAACCGAAAATCTTCATGCTGACCTGCTGAGCCATTTTTGCCTTTTGGTGCTTCTGCCTTCTGCGAGACCTTTTTGCCTTATGCTGCCTTTTTTATTTGCACCATAGGGCTGCTTGAAATTTTGCAATAGGACTATTGTATTTTGGCTTCTTATTTTGTTTATCACCTAACATTTCAATTTTATAAATCAAATACAATTAATTAAAACAAGCATTCAAAGTTTAAAGATAATCAATGTCCACCTTCCAAATATTCAACACAATACAAATGGTTTGAAGTTCAAACTAACATGAGAAAGGTAACCAATGTCTAAATTCCAAGCATAACTTGTAGAAACTCCAAAGGTCTTGCTTCTTAGCTCTTCACTCTTGGACAATTGAGACCTTTGAATTCAAAAATGGTACAATAAACAGGAAACAAAACAATGATGGTTAGTGATTAATATGTATATAGCTAATTACAAATAACCAAGTAGAATAAAATCTCAACTTCTAACCTCTAAAGTCATCAATCATGCATAGAAACATCGGAATTCTCACCCCAAGCACTACTAGATGCACTACCATCGTTCCTCCTTCCACTTGAACTTGGTACATTGGAAGTTGAGGTAGATGAAACAAGATTATCTCTTATGGAGATTGCATTCATCAACTTGTCCAATTCTGCAAGATTAAAAAGGCTCAAAATTAGTCATGACATACAAATTAATCATGTTATAAATATGTAATGCTAGATTTGAGGCTTTACCTTCATCTATTTTCTCGACCTCTTGTGGATCCTCCTCTGCTGATGGTGGTGCAGAATCGCCACGAATCCAATCTGAGCTACAAATTAAGGCCTCCACTATCTTAGGAGTCAATGAACTTCTGAAATCATCTAGAATAATCGCCACGAATCCAATCTGAGCTACAAATTAAGGCCTCCACTATCTTAGGAGTCAATGAACTTCTGAAATCATCTAGAATCCTCCCACCAGTGCTAAAGGCAGATTCGGATGCAGCGGTAGAGATTGGGACCGCTAAAACATCCTTAGCCATCATGGAAAGGGCTGGAAACCTCAAGCAGTTAACCTTCCACCAATCAAGTACATCAAACTTGAGCACCATTGGTTCGTCTTCCTCACGAAGGTATTTCTCAAGCCCGGATTTGTTTACCGCCCCTACAATTTGCTCTCTATGCTTTTTGTATTCAGCAAGTACATCAAGCTCATCCCCATCACCCTCCTCCACAATTGGGGCCAAAGAAGTAGAGGCATTCTTGGATTGTTTCAACTTCCAAAGTTGTTCATAGTGAGCAAATAGATCAAATGTAGCCTTCCTCACATTCTCCGCTATACGTGCTCCCTTTCCACCCTCAGGATACACCATTTTCAAAGCAAAATCAACAAAACCCATCTTGTACCTCGGATCCATTATAGTGGAGATGTAAAGTAGTTTGTTCATTTTATCCACATCTCCCCAATACTTCTCGTACTTCATCTTCATCTTGCTCGCCATAATACTCAAGTCGAGATCTTTCTCAACTTCCGTCTCCCACTTGGTTATCAAATGATATAGGGAATGCACTTCTTGTAAGAACAAGTTAGAAGTGGTATACTTTGAGCCCGAGATCTTCAAAGTGAAGTCGTAGAACCGACCAAGAAATCCCATCATTCTCCTTGCATTCTCCCAATCATCCTTCTCCGGGACACCAATTATGCCATGTCTATCCTTCTTGCTTTCCAAATCCTTTCGGAAATGGTCATCATACATGTCAAACATCATGAAGACCTTTTCAAACCTCTCAGCAGCCTGCAACATCAAGAATGTCGAGTTCCATCTAGTAGGAACATCAAGACACAATCCACGTTTGCCTTCTACCTTTTGAACAGTAGCAAACTCATGAAATTTTTTCAACCTTTCTAGTGAATTTCTAATGAACCTCACTGCTTCTCTAATTCTCTTCACCGACAAGAAAATATCTCCAAGCTCATCAGACACAACCAGATTTAAAATATGAGCTACACACCTCATGTGAAGAAATTCACTATCACATATACTAGTCCCCCTAGCATTAAAAACTTCCTTCCATTTGGCCACAGCTGTATCATTAGAGCTAGCATTATCCACGGTAATTGTGAAAATCTTCTCAATCCCCTAATCATCCAAACAAGCAACAATGCCATCAGCAGTATCTACCCCTTTATGACCCTTAAGTTCCCCAAAATTGATGATCTTCTTTCTCAAATTCCAATCTTGGTCAATGAAGTGGGCAGTTAGGCACATAAAGCTATCTTGCTTATTCGAAGTCCATGCATCAGTAGTCAAACAAATTCTTCCTTCACAACTTTGAAAATATTTTTTCAATTTCTTTCATTTCACTATAGAAGGCAAAGCAATCCCTAGTGATTGTTCTCCTAGAAGGAATGTTGAACATAGGGCAGCATAGTGGCATGAAGTACTTAAAACCCATCCCATCAACAAACTTGAATGGTTTTTCATCAACAATGAGCATGTAAGCTAACCCCTTTCTAGTAGCTTCTTGATCAAACTTCCAGTTTGTTAAAGTACCTTCACCTTCTACCCCAGTTTTCCCTAAGTTCAAGAGTTGTTGAGTAGTACCTTGTTTATCACCACAACCCTTTCGCATATGAACATTCATAGCATTGGTACCATTAAGAAATGGATCAGCTTCATACTCCTTCCCACACTTCATACATCTTGACATCTTGTATCCGTCCGGAGCATTGAACTTTATAAATTGAGTCCAACACACCGCTCTTGACTTCATCTCCTTTCTTTTTGGTTTTAAAGTTTTTTTGGTAGCACCCTCGTTGCGGACAGCAGCTTCATCCACAGGAGGATTACCACCGGTCGATGAATCTTCTTCCTACACCATCAATAAACAGAAAAAGCAGTAGCATTAGCCATTAACCAACATACAAAATTACTAAGGACATAAGAGACACTAACATTAGCCATTAGCAATTTAGGATTTAGCATTCTCCTAAATTAAACCAACAAAGCAGTTAAACATATTCTAGACACACAGATTCTACTAGACACACTTGCTATTAAACAAATAGCAATCTCAATTCTCAAATAGCAATCTCAAGTTTTTGAACATTAAGAACCTACCAACACATGAACATCCATACCCTCTTTTGGAATCTGTTGACCATCGGCGTCGGTTGAGCTGCCGGTGGTTTTCTTTGACCTTCGACTAGTGTTCATGTATCAAGGAGACTAAGTGTCGAGTGAGTGGTGCTGTCGGCGGAAGCAGGGAGAGTCTGTGGGAGTGTAGGTAACTGGGTCTGGCCTCTAGGTGTCGTCGTGCGACTCGTGCCGACTGCCGGTGCCGGTGGGAGTGGGAGGGAGGTCGGGAGAGAGGTCGAGAGAGAGGCCGTCGGGACTCATGGTCGAGCCTCGGGAGATGACGAGGACGGACGACGCCGACGGCCGACGGGGACGCAGCGACAGCAGTCAGCAGAGTAGACGGAGCGGCAGCAGAGTAGACGTGGGTCGGTGGGAAGGGTTTTCGATTTTGTGTTTCTCCTATCTGCTCTCTGGTCTGTTGGCTGGCGGCTGCGTAGGGTTCAACATCAGCAGAAAGCGCCGCTTGAAAAAAATTGGGCCATTCGGAGGAGAAGGAGAGTGGGCTGGGTTTGGGTGGGCTTCAGTTGGGTCAAATAAAATAGGGAGTGGGCTAACTGGCAACTGCTGAGGTTTGAAAAAAAATGGGCCATTCTTAATTCGGAAATTCGGTCGGTATTTTGGTTTATCGGTTCGGTCAAAAAGCACATGTCTCCCGAAATTCAGCCTATCTCCGTCCGAATTCTGAACCTAATTACAATTATTTCGGTTTCTGTCGGTTTGAACTCGGTTCGGTAAAACCGAACCGTATGCCCACCCCTAGTGTGTGTTGACGGTTTCAAATGTTTCGCGCATGTCATCAAGTGTGAGGCGTCGTGCTTGGAGTTGACAATGAGGCCATAGACGTATGATTCGATGTTGCACCCTATCTATTTTTTTAACATTGAATTGATGAGGAGCTGGTAGGTGATGCTAGCATTCTCCAGCCCGAATGGCATCCCGATGAAGCAAAAAGTACCAAACGGCATCATAAAAGCAGTCTTTTTTTGTCTTCGAGGCTCATTGGAATTTGGTGATATCTTGAGAACATATCCAAGAACGAGATTTTTTCTGAATTAGATGTCGCATCAACTAGCAGATCGATCTGCGACAGCATGTACGGATTTCTAGGGCACACTTTATTGATGGTGGTGTAATCTACGCACATGCGCCATGCTCCTGACTCCTTTTCACCAAGACCACATTGGACAACCACTTCGAGTATTGCATTGGTATAATTAAGCCTGCCTCTAGTAAGCGCGCTACCTTGTCTTTGATGGCCTTCAGCTTTTCCCTAGTGAAATAACACCTTGCTTGTTGTGCTGGTTTAGAATTCTTTGGTACCGCGAGGCTATGATCCGCTACCTCTCTTCGCACCCCCAACATGTCTTGGGTGCTCCTAGGGAAAAACTCTGTGTATTCCTTTAGTAACTTTATAATTGGCCCCATCATTGTGTCAGGAACGTGTGTCGAGATGCGGATTTGCTGATCCAGTTTGGCAGGATCCAGTGTCACCTTGAAGTCAGAGTCACCTGGAGTGGGTTGCGGTTCCTCCTCAACTCGTGTGTCTACGATGTTGGTTCTCTTCTTCACCGTTGGTTCTCTATGTTTGCCTCTAACAAAACCCGTGCCTTTTGTGGTGGGAAATTTGACGACCTGGTGGCACGCTGAGGTAAGGGCCTTGAACTTGGCGAGGAATGGTTATCCTAGTATTGTGTTGTGCGGTGACTAGAAATCCACGATGGTGAATTCAATCTGCTCGGTTGCACTTGGGGACTTATCGCACATTAAGACCGGTAGAGTTATGGAACCGATCTCCAGCACATGCGATCCATAGAAGCCAACCATGTTTCCCTGCGCGTGTTTGACCATCCTCGGATACACGTCCATCTGATCTAGTGTGTGTTTGAAGAGAATATCAGTTCCACTTCCCCTTCTATTAGAAGTCAGTGTACTTTGCATCGCGTCTGCACATTCAACCTCCCTTTGCTACTTTGTTTTTTTAGGTGGGTCGGATCCCTTCCATGGTGACCCCCCCCCCCCCCCCCAATTTCTTCTCTCGCCACCAGTTCCCCTGTTGCTTCATTATAACATGTTTGTGGGGGATGTGGGGGTTTCCATGCAGGTGTTTTGTCCTTCCATCTGCACGAATTCAATCAACTAACCCCGCCTAATGAGGGTGTCAATCTCCACACGGAGCATGTACAAATTTTTCGTGACATGGCCTATTTTCTAGTGAAATTCACAAGTGTTGTTCCAAAAAATCAAGATCGGGATGAGCAGCTTGCATGACCGCTCGTACTCTGGGGTGGTTGGCATAATGGTCACCGCGACAGGGTTTACGGACGGAGGCTGTACGCTTGGCTTGGAATTGGGTTGGGCATTATTGGATCTCATAAGTACAATCATCTGGCTCATATTACTTTGCATATCAAGGATGACCCTATTTTGTTGCTCCATTTGATGGAGAATTTCCTTTGTGGACAACTTTGGCTCCTCCTCTTCAATCAGCACAGTGTTAGGGTTGTGTGAAGAGTGAATAGCCTTGCTTCCTCAGGGTTGTTCGATATGTCAAAAAGTCTATGGCTTGTGGTTGCCTTGAGGGGAGTAGTTTCCTCGACCGTAGGATCCTGGTGTATCAACTACAATTCCTTCCTCATTGAATCCTTCGACATTCTTGAGCCCCACGGTGGGTGCCAATTGTTTGTGTAAGACAAGTGTTAAGTCTCGCAAGTAGATAGGAGGAATCAAGGTCGTTGCATTCAATGTAGAAGGAGTTACAGGAGGGATGTTCATAGAGAATATTTAGAATGAATGTGGAGAGAATGTTTAGAGAGAGAATGAGAGTCTTCTTCTTTCCTCCTGGTCGACCAAATCCCCCTTGCTTGGCGAAATAAATGCTCTATTTATAGCTCCGCTCAGTTAGGTGAACATTTAATGTGAGGAGACAGGCATGTCAAAACAGGTATGGGGATTCCCGAAGCGGCCTTTCCCTTTCTACAGAGAGGTGTTGAGGGTGATCGCAGTTATAGATGAATCAGCTTTAATGGTGTTTTCCAATAATTTGTTATCCAAATCATAAGCAGATGGATTAGTAGAGATCCTTTGTTTGCTTAAGAAAATGGGGGGGGGGGGGGGAATCCAATCTGTGGGTTCCATGGATTTGGATCTAAAATTTGATCTCATATTCGTGTGTCTCACGGATTTGTAAATCCCAAACAGAATGTGGGATTAAAGATATGGTCCAAATTCATGATGATTTAAAATTATTTATCCTCGTAAAATTTATTTTAATACAACTTTCCCCCTTTGTTGCCTTTACATTGCGAGAGAAATTTGTTCAATGACCAATGAATCACTTTCATTCTTGGCAGTATGCAAGGGCGGAGCTGCAGCAGGCTTGCCCCTCCTCTCCAAATTATCTCAAAAGGCACTTATAAATGGGTTCGGAATGTTATGTAGAAATATTATAAAAACATAAATGTGCCAGTTCATAACATCAGGCCCCGGGGGAAGACAACTTGTTTGTTTACCCCATCGTCATGTGTTCAACGCCAACCCGAAGCATGTTTCTTCTTTGACCTTGCTTCTAAGTCATTCGTTTTGTAGTTGATATACCCAATGTAAAAATATTTTTACTACACTAGCTCACCATCTTCTCAAACAATGCATCAATGCACCTGGGTCGACATTTGTGCCCAGCCCACGACTCTGTCCAGTGAAATATTGGGGCAGACCCATCCAGCTCCAATCGGTACACAATTGTGTCATGGCCCGCCAACACTAAATCATATAGTGGCTCACGATTGCCTCCAATTGAGGGTTCTTCCCTCAGAGCCCGGCTCTTGCCTATGCATTATTGTGCCAAGATCTGGCGCCGGGTCTTCTCCTCGGGTTCCCGGGGCCAGTGCCCGTTATCGCTCTCGGACCTCGGCTCCCGGGCTTCGCCCTCCTCCCAGCACCCGAGCTTACTATTTCCCCGGCTCCAGCGGTGGGCCTTCACCTCTTGTCTGGTTCCCGTCAGAGGCCCGTTAACGCTTCTGGTCCTCAGCGCCCAGGCTCACTATTACCCCAACTCCCGGCGGCATGCCTTCAGCTCTCATTTGGTTACCGGCGCCTGGGCCCGTTATCGCTCCTGGTCCCTGGCTCCCCGGATTCGCCCTCTTCATGACAGTCAGGCCCACAATTGCCACGGCTTCATGCGGCGCGCTTTCACCTCTCGTCCGGATCCCTACTCACGGGCCCGATATCACCTCTGGCTACCCGACGACGCACCATTGCGCCTGGCGCCCGACGCCTGGACCGCCTTCACCCCCTGATCCCGGAGCCCGGATCCACATCTCTTCTCCCCAACTGGATCCATTGCATGCATTCCTACCTGCACATGTGTCATGCCCTCTCCTCAATTAGTTTGCATGTGGCAAGGGTGTTCCCCTTAGGCAAAAACATGCTTGACATGTGCACAACCACGTGGCGGGCGTAGATGGGCCTAGACGACACATGTCTAGTGACGTGTCCTTTCATGTCCGGCGCCGACACCTGTCCTCCCGTTTTCCCCCAGATAGATACTATATAACGAGCTCATGCTCTCAAGTGAAAGGTAAGGTAAGAGACAGGGGGAAGTACCCTAAGAGAGCCCGTTGTAATCAGTCACTCTCATCTCTCGGATTCTCCTCTGCAAACCCCTTGTAAACTTTTCAATCCCTAACACTAGAGACTAACTTGATCGTAGGAGGGTGCCCCCGCCGAGATCGGCCGGCAGGGCCTTTTTTGCAAGAAGCGATCGGAGGAGATAGTAAGGTTACGATAAAGGGGCAGTTCAAATTGCTTCGTGGCCCAAGATCGAAGAAGTCGATGTCGGCTACAACCCCGACATCAACAGTAGTGTTAAAAACAACATGTCATACAATCCTGAAATGCATTATTAGGTTATATATTTTTTTCAATTTAGTTAATTTAATATGAAAATATTTTGTGTGGTTGTAATAACAAAATTATCTTCTGTTGGGTCTAGTATTAACCCGCCTAATACAGGCCCAAGCCCACCACAAAGCATATGACCTTGGGCCCAAGCCCACTCTTGCGTCCAGTCCACCCGGGGGAGTCCATCATCAGGAGGCGTCTAGTCTACCGGGGGGTCCATTCACCTGGAGGCCTCCACCACTGGGAGGCGTCACCAACTGAATGCCTCTGACTCCTATATAAAGGAGGACATGCCTTCCAAGCAAAGGGACTTCTCTCCCTTCCCACATTTTACCACTTATGGTTCTCTCTCTATATTTCTCTATACACTATCATATATCCTATTCTAACTTGAGCGTCAGATTATAGATCACGGGGGTCACCCCCGACTCTCCACAGGATTCTTCCACTCCTGAGGAGATCAGACGAGGTAATCCAAATTAAGGCTATATACTAATCACGCGCTCGAGTCCGGATCCCATGACTAAAGGGGCGTGCTTAGTCACTTGACTAAGCCCCTCCCAGCCCTTAGATCTGGACACACCAATCTTATGGTTAAAAAGTGAGAAGGGCTTTTTAATTAATGATCGGAGTAGTTTGGGTATTATGAAAAATTACGAAGTATACAAACTGGACTTACAAACAGTACAAACATTACAAACATACAAACATTACAAACTTAAACAACAAAACATACAAATAGATTTACAAACAATACAAAACATATGAACTATAAAAACAATACAAACTAGACCGTCAAAGAATACAAACCATACAAAATGAAAAAAAAACAACCGGGTTGACTTTGGAGGCTCCATCCCTATATAGAGGGTTTCGTCCCAAAGTCAACCCGATTGTTTTTTTGACATACAAACATTACAAACATGGTGGGAAAAAATGACAAACTAGACTGATAAACCATACAAAATGGAAAAATACCTGGGTTGACTTTAGAGGCTTCATCTCTATATAGAAGAGTTTCATCCAAAAGTTAACCAAGTTGTTTTTTAGACATAAAAAAACATTACAAATATGGGTGACAAAAATGACAAACATGGTGAACCAAAATAACAAAACTTACAAACATTACAAAAAAAACCGACAAACATTACAAAATAACAAAGCTTACAAACATTACAAAAGAAACGGACAAATAGTACAAAGCATACTAACCATACAAAATAGTCATATAAACATTACAAATATAATAGAAAAAATAACAAAAAATACAAACCGAATTGTCAGTAAACATTACAAACCAGACTTACAAATATTACAAAATAAAACGATAAACATTACAAAACTACCGCACTTTTCGAAAAATTCCCATCGTCGAAAAAATATCTTTCCGGTCGAAAAATCTCGCATGCGTAAAAAAAAAAGATGGCTATTTTATTTCTCCAAGCAGTCGGGGAGAGTTCCCCATATGCGATCGGTCGGCGGGGAAAAAATGATGGGCCAAAATATCCCCTCGCCGTCGGGGGGAAATAAGCGGTCGCTGGAAGACACAGCGGCCAGTGGGCCCAACTTTTATTTTTTATTTTAATTGTTAAATAAATAAACCATGTAATTACTACCTTACCCTTCATTAAACTAAATTAATTTGAACCATTAGATTTTAATGAAGTTCAATTGCTTAGATTGACTTAGTCATGTGATTAAGGGACCCCTCTTAGTCACTTGATCTAAGCCCCACCCGGCACTGGTCCGGGTCAATCATTTTGACGCCCACCGTGGGGCCATGATTTTGGTATTCTTTCATCTAATTCCTGACTGAGGGAAGAAATCAACTCTTCCGCCATCACCATCTCACGACGACAAGAACAACCAACGGAAAGATCTTCCTCTGCCGAATTCAGAGGAGCATTCTCTTCATCTCATTCCAACAACAAGGTACAAAATCTCATATCTAGATGGGAAAAAGCAACAAAGACAATTATAGATCTGTAAATATCTTCCCCAACAGAGGGATACAAGATGGAATCCCCATTGCAAGGAAAACAAAATTATACAAGATCTTGTACGAGCAAGCAACGGGTTTATTTTCTGCAGCTGGCGAGTACCCAGCTTCTCCTCCGGCCTTCAACCTAGTCGGCATCTCTAACTCCTCATCGCTTTTCTTCGAACTCATCGTGGCCGGTACAACCCACCGTTGGCACCGGTTGGCGGTTGTCGCCCTATCTGCTTATTTGTCGTCTCCGACCACTTCAAACCCAAAATTCTGGCGACTTTGACGGTCGGAGTTATGCACAGCGCCAGCGCTCCGACGTGGAAAAGAAGTGGTCCTGCAGTCGCCATCACAAGCAGCTGTCACATCGTCCTTTGCTACTCTCCCCAAATATGGTCTACTGCTGCTTTCTCTAATCTATTGTTAGGAAAAGTAGACGAACAGGTTTACCGAGGCAAACAGTGGAGTTATCAAGGCAACGTCTCACATGGGAAGGCGCTAGGGCTGGTAACCGGTTCGGTAACGGTTAACCGGTTCCCGAATAACCGGTTAACGGTATCAACACGGTATTACCGAAACGCCGAGTCAAGGAACCAAAAACACGTTTCGGTTCGGTTAACCGGTAAGTAACCGGTACCGATTGTGTACAAAAGCCAGAAAGGGTGATGGGAGGCAGCAGCTCTCGGTAATTTTATGTACTCAATAATGTAAGTCTTATCTCTTATTTACAATATTAAGAGTTATTATAATTTATAACATTACAATTGTCATTTATCAAACCATAATTGATTTATAAGTTATAACAAGTTCAAACTTCAAATTCTGAAATTCATTAAGTATCATCAAATATTGAAATTGAAAGGGACGATAATCAACATAATTGTCAATCAACCAAAGCGCATAATGATTAATGACAATGTCCAAAATCTAAATTCACACAAGTTCAAACTTCAAACTTAATAATAAAAATGGATCTTAGAAGTTAGAAGTACCCAAATAACACAACATAAATAAACGCATAAACTAGCTAGCATCTCATGCTCCTCCTTCTCCGATAGAACTTGTTACCCCACCACCAACATTAGCAAATCCTTTCTTTTTCAAAGTCCTAAGAAGAGTAACTTCGGGATCATCATCACTCGATGAACTCTCACTCATATCATCACTCTCAGTCTCCTCGTCATCTCCCTCCTCCTCCTTGTCCTCCTCAACACCCCCATCAGGTAAGCTATGTGCTCTAACTTCGGTAGCAGTTTCCACTCGAGCTTGGAAAGTATTAGCCACTAGTGCAAACAAAAAACACAAATATTAATGATTTAAATATGGAATGGCTTAATTTTAGTAAAGAGTATATACAATAATACAAATAAGAAGAATGAATTGAATTCTTACCATTCTCAAAGACAAAGTCGATTGTCTCCTGATCTTCTTCCTTATCATTCAGTTCATCTACAGTCTTTCCACTTTCATACCTTATCCAATCTTCAGTACAGATCAAGGCCTCTACAATGTTTGGGCTCAAAGATGATCTGAAAGGACTAAGAACTCGACCTCCACAACTGAAAGCGGACTCCGAGGCAACAGAGGATATTGGAACTGCTAATATATCCCTAACCATCTCTGCAAGAATGGGATATCTAACACTATTCCGAGACCACCACTTCAGAATATCAAATTTCCGATCATCAAGCTCCTCGTTAACAGCATCACCAACATCTCTCAAATATTACTCCAACTCACCAGATACTCTACCCCCCCCCCCCCCTCTAAAGTTGCTCCTTTCTCTTCTGCTGGAACCGAGCTTCAAATGCACCTCCCATAACAGAATCCTCGCCACTAGTCACAATATCTGGAGTAGTCTGAGTAGTAGCTTCGGAATCAGAATGTGAAGATGCATACTTCACCTTGTAGACCTCGAACAATAGTATCATCTCTTTCTTCACCTGATCTGCCAAATCTTCCCCTTTTGACTTTCCATACATCTCTTCCAACATCATAGTCAAATAGTATAGTTTACGTCTTGGATCAAGCACACAGGCCATGTAAACTATCCTATTTATTCTAAGGTTATCCTCCTCATCAGCATCATTCTCAAACCAATACTTTCTCACCTTTGCCTCTATTCTTTCTGCCATTCTTTGTATCTGTTCATCTGCATCCTTCTTCAAAGTAGCAATCACTTCATGAATATCAACAATGGCTCTGCAGAAAGTATGTGTAGTGACATATGATGTACCTGATACAAAGAAAAAATGTAAGTGAGAAATTATAAACTTTAACTTTAAGAAATGAATTTTAAAATTTGATAGTTCATTCACATACCTGATACACGAAGAGTAAGATCATAGAAGAACTTCAGGTATTTCATGAGACGCCTAATGCTGCTCCAATCTTCTCTAGATGGAAGAC